ACAGTAAGTGCGAATCAAACTAAAGTTTGATACGCCATGTATGACATGAATACATATAGCTATGACGTGGGTGCCAGATATGAGCGACTCGACCATTGCATTTGTACTCGGCCTTGATCGCCGCATGGCTTATGAAATGACAGGATTTTAATGGCGTCACTATGACGCCATGAATGCCAAGGTGAACTACAAAATACTCTCCCCGAAATGGTCTCCCCATTTTCGTGGGCGTGTGGCCCAGGCACTTGAGAGAGCTGGGTCTTAAGAAGGGCAGGACTGTGAAATGCTTCGATAGATCTTCAAAATAACTATGCCAGCTCAAAATCCCGTACAAATGTGGAGCACTCCCTTTAAACAACGAACGACTGGCAAAGGGAAGGGATCATTCAGCGCAAATCATTTACGTTTTGTTACTGTTGCTGCCAAACTGGCGAAGGCCCGTGTTTGATTACTGGACATGAAGATAATGCGGCACTGAGTAAGTTGCGCAGTAAACCTCACATTCGCCAAGGTACTCGGTACACAGGTTGTTGTCCAGTTTCTCACAGCAGACATCTTCCGATTCGGCTCTTCCCCAAGTGATGCGTTCCCTCTGCATGCCTCCCCAGCATTTACCGTCGTAACACCTGTTTACGCTATCTGCCGTTGAGATATGTCGGAACAATCCCGCGCGGTTAGGTGTTTAGTCACGCTCGCTTCGCAAACATCACTTAAGAGGAGCTCCCTCGGCTGCAGACCTCACGTATGAGGTGGCCATTTATCGAGGTGTTCGTTTCTAGCATGCATTGTTCATGCACGGCCGGACCACTATGTTTCCTCCGCAGATATGACGGGCTCATAGTCAGCATGCGCAGTCCTGGGTATTCAAACAGCCCCATAATTTGCCAGGGGAAGATGGCTTGCGACCTGTTTTGGGCCAGCGAATACTGAAGGTGAGGTCTTCCACAGTAGGGCCAGAGAAACTTTACCGAATGCGCACGGACACTGGTATAGAACTCACTCGGCTGATGACTCAAAACATTGGGTGCAGCTTTAAGGCTCTAGTCCTCATGCGAGAGTTTTCTGAAACGAACTCTTTGAGAAGTGGTGTCAAAACGCAGCGATGGGACTGCGTATTTGTGTCCAATTGTCTTTCCTCCTCCGCTTTTATATGCTTTATTATGGTTACTGAGCTCTGCTCGCTTAGTTAGCCTTAATAGAACGCTAACGTCGCAACGCCTATTAGGATGATCAGTTGCCATTATATAAGACCATCGTTGTTTCGATGATTCACGGTTCCCCTCCCCCTTCCCCCTCCGCGTCAAACGTGGCAGCAACACCGGACTGCGATGCTCGCTCATGACATTCAAGCTGTGAGTCATGTGCACGATTCCCGATTGGTTTCTACCATGTGCAATTGCAAAGCGTCCTACCCGAATACGCGTAGCTTCGGTAACTTTCCGTGACACCGCAAATGAAGGCATGGATGAGAGTACTTAGGTTAGCTGGAAAGGCCTTCATATCCATAGCCCACTCAAGCCAGAATGTTTTGGCATTATAAGTCCATAATTTGTGTGCCACATGAGCTCTTATGTTGAATTGTCTATCTCTAATTTACCAGCAATTAGTAGCTAAATAGCGTTATCAAGCAAATGCCGCTGATACTGACAGCACTGAAAAGAACCAACGTTGGTTGCATTCAACGTAACTAGATTTTAGTTGTATTGATCATTGTCAATGGGCCATAGCTTTACAAGATGAGTGCTGGGAGAAGGAACTGTGCCGTGAGAAAATGACGCAATCTACCGCCAAAATAGCAAACACACTTGGAGGGAGGATGAAGCTGGAGTCCAAGTTGGTGGGGGAGGGGAACGTAGCCGACATAACTTATTAAGAAACTACACCTCGGTGGCAGTATAAACAAGGTTTGCTCTATAACGTCGTTTCAACACCACGTTCTGGTACACTGAAGGTCAATAAATCATCATAGGAAATCTGGACTCATGTGGAAAATTATAACCACATACTAGGGCTTGCAGGGGCCGTGTAGTACAGGGCATGACGTCAGTGTTGTCAGATAGGGAACCAGTTCAGATGAGCCCTCAGACTGTTGCGGTGCGGGCAGTGTGGTTCGGTATGGTACAGTACTGAAAAACGTTATAGGTGATGAACTTGCAATGTAGGTCGGTTGAGGTTCTTGGCTCTTCAAACAGCTAACGACCTGCTCATTCAAATTCAAATGAATGTTTCGACGCATTCCCAGGGACAGCAAACTCTACGAGATCCCGCTCATTTTTCGCAGCATCTTTTCTTCGTTGTGACGCGCGCTTCTACGTCGTTACTACTTACAACGGAGCGTGGGGGCGCGGGCTCTCCAGCGTTGCAAAACAGGCTTCATACAAGACGGAATTCTTAAAACGATGGGGGACAGGCCTCATGTGTGATCATTATCTCGTTTCTGTGACATTTCAGCCGCCCGCTTGCAAACCTGGCTTGACAGATTATTTTGTTAGGTTTGGAACAGAGGCTGCCTTAGCCTGACACGTAGCCATTTCTCTCCCACACTGAGGCATTGTGAGTGGAGTTTTGGTATGGCTTATGTGCTGAAACGAGTGGGACGTGCCTCAGAGTGCGTTTTGCTTGACACACGCAAAAGGTACCGGCATCTCCTGCGGAGTATCATGAAACGATGGCTCTTTCCGCTGTCAATACGTATGCATAAGTTTGAGTTCAACATAATGCAAACAGAGAATTAGTTTCAACGATATCAGTGAAGCCAAACATTGCACACGAATGCAACGGACAGGATTAACGGCCGGAAAAAAAGAGCGATAAAAATATGTATGATAACAGCGATTCAATAGCAATGCAATAGTGGTTTCGTGATTTTAGTTCCCAGTCCCTTTGAACTCAGATACGTCGGTGCGAATGAAAGTGACGAAGTAAAGAGTAGGTGGTGACAACTCCACACCAGAGGCGCAGAATGTGTCCACTGCTCTGAACAACCCGAATTGGCTGTAAACATACCTAAGTTTGTTTTTTGTGTTTTGTTCAAACGCCGTCATGACGGAAATGTACTTGTTCTAAGTATGTGAGGTTTGTCACGATAATTATTTACCAGGCGATATCTACCGCCAAGGCACGATATGGCATGGGCACGCGAGACACAAGACCCCTGAACTCTTCCCGCAGTCAAGCTCCCAAAGAAGTAGCGCTCGTGCCTCTCAGGCTATGGACCCGGAGATGAAGACGTCAGCGCTCACAGCGTCAGGACGAGCACTGGTTGAACAACGTGTTCCGATGGCAGTCTTGTGCCTCAGTCGACAGGAGAGGCGTGCGCTGGCAGGAGAAAGTCACCCCCTGCCCCCCCCCCCCCCCCCTCCCCAGCTACCGCGGCAGAGGCCTGGCCTGGAGACCAGCAGATCCGTGACCTAGAGCCAGAGCCATGTCGCCAAATCCAAAACTGCGGCGTTGCAGGGTCCGTCGCCGCGTACTGGCCGTGAAGTGCGTGTACCAGTGCGACCTTGCAGGAGGCTGATTCCGCGCTCTTTTTCTGTGAGGTCAGCTCTCGTGTACTACACGAATCTTATGGGATTTGCATGGTGCAGGAGATGACTTACTATAAGCTCTGCGTTGGCAGCAGCGGGAGGCGCGCTACACCTCAGCCGCATCAGATAACACGGCCCGGCAGGCAGCCGCAGACCGCACGTCGCGAGCCGTTCACATCGACATGCTAATTCGGCCTGGTCGCTCGTTTTGGCCCGTGAATGGAGCGAACCACAGGCTTGATACCACTTGCGTATGCAGAGCTAGGATCTCTGGTTGAAAATACGGCCCACATCTCTGCAGGCCCTGGCGTGCCAGGCCAATGGCGGTGTTCGCGAAGAGCATCGCTCTCTCCAGGGATAGACGTTTTGGTTTGATGAGTATAAATGATTGTTCAGATGTGCGTTTTTAACACCGACGTATCCTAGCTAGGCTGTTTCCACCTCTGCCCTCCCACCATCGCGCTGATGTTGGAATGCAGGACCAGATGCTAAAACGCGCGGGAACTATCTTTTGATCAGCACGGCGCGTCCTAACTGGTGACAAAACCCCGCACGGAGTTCAGACCTCATGTGCGGTGTGGTGCGTAGTTTGGTACGGTGAGTTACTGGAAACGGCTCAGCGCATGCACATGCAGTGTTGGCTAAGGTTCTCGGCTCCTCTGACAATGTAAGTCCTGTTCGTTTCAGCTTAAAATGACCTTTCAACGTGCGGTAGGGCTGTGGAGCAAACACCCCAAGCGGTAATGTTGTAAAAGTGTCACCTGATGCACTGTCCGGCAGGGCGGTCTAACGGCATCGTTGCGAGTATGCCACCGCTGCCGGACTGTTCGAGGGTGACAGCGACACGCGAACGCACCACACACACCTCCAACAGGCAGCTGCTGCGATATTCGGACCCCTTGAGTCCGAACCACGCGTCTCCACCGCTATCGTCGGGACATTTCCAGTGCTCAGTGATCCGCGACGCGGGTCAGCCTACTTCATGAGCCCGGCCGCCCTGACGGCGCGGCACGCACGGTTCATGAAGGCATTCTCGTCTAAACTAGTCTCACTCTCGCTAAGGGAGCGCGCGCGGATCAGACGCGCCCTAACGAGCAGTCCGATCAAACACATTTTAGCTTGATGATATTTTATCTCCTTACATGATATGTGGGATTGTCTCCCTGGATGCGAGGATCTCACAGATCAGTGTGCTCTGTGCCCCCGTACCAGGCTTCCCTGACAGCGGGGAACTCGCATACAAGTGCCTGTCTGAACCAGACTTCCCTGACAGCGGGAAACTCACAGACCACTGCCCGTCTGACCTAGCCTCCCCGGCGGCGAGGAACTCACAGATCATCGCCTTTCTGAACCAGTCCCTCCGAAGGCGGGGAGCTCAAAGACCACTTCCCGTCTGAACCAGCCTCCCTGACGGTTCAACACGGCTGTAGAGTGTGCGTCTAAGCTGGTATACGCTGACGGCTGGTCACTCACGGGTCGCCATGCGTCGTGAACTCGGTGTCGTATCGTCCGGCGGCGCCGTCTGGCACGGCCGGGTCCTGCACCACCGCGTAGCTGTCCAGGGTTGACGGCGACTGCGCAGCGACGCCGATCGCCAGCGCCAGCACCAGCACCAGCACCACTCGTCGCACCATCAGCACCATCGCGGCCGCTGCCGACCGGTGGTGGTCGCGCGCGCTACTGACCGCCGCGCGAGAGGTCGGCCGCAGCAGGGCGGGCGGCGCGGCGGGCGGCCTCCTCCTAGGACGACAGGGGACGCGCCGGTCCGGCCTTCGGAGTCCCAGCAGTCCGCTGGTCGGACCTGACACGCCGAGGATTCCACTCAAGCGGCGGGGCGCAGCGGCACGAAAAAGACGCTGTGTGACAGCACTTGACGCATGCGTTCCGCTCGTACGAAAGGGACGCTGGTAAGATGGCGTAGGTTGATGATGAATGGTCTCTGAGGTCCGAGATCATATCAAGAGAGCAGATGGCAAGGACGTTTTTCTGGTTCTGGTAAGCTGTAGGGGTCAAAGACCAAGGCATTGTGGTTCGCTACCTGTGGCGTAGCCAAGGCTTTTGGTCATGCCCCCCCCCCCCCCCGCCTAGAGGTGACGGGGGACATAGGAAACAGTGCTTTTGACTTAAAACAAAAACATCCCTCGCTGCATCAAAATGGGATCCCGAGCCCAACAAGATCCCCAAATTCAAAACGAGTCTGTTTGGTGACGAAGTGGGTCTCCCATGGCTCTCCTTGTTCCGATTTCATCTATCCCTGTGTGAGAACCCGCTTACGTTGCTGTTTGCTACCATTGCCAACGTGACGCAGTAGCTGTCATCGTGACTCGTGATCACGGCGACACCTAAGGACAAAAGCAATACCAAGCAAGCCGTCGCGAGCAATGAAAGACAAGCTGCTTTGAGCGGGCATCAGTGCTAGCTGGACCGACACTGGCCTCTGAAGCATGTTTCCCAATAGAATCAGCGCTTCCTCAGAAACATTTCAAAGAAGAAATTGCGAGTTACAATGGATCCCACTATAACTGGTGTTTGTTATCTTTTTAGAATGCCCTCCCTCGCCTCCCTAAGTTTGAGATACCCCCGATGCCGAAATGGTATTCAAACCCAATCAAATGTCACTTAAACCCACAAAGAACAACGAGAAACCTGCGGCGTTTTTGGGCAGCCGGGGTCCCAGTCCCGAAATAACATGCATGAAGCTCCGCTCCTGCAGCGAGCTTAAATCATCATTTCAGGGTTAATCAACGCTTGGAATTTGTGGGATCTAGGTTGTCACATAAGTGGCGCTTGTGCTGGGAAAGACCAATGTCGTTCAAATGTCAAGTGAAGTGACCAATGTCGAGCTGTGTTCTACTGTTTGCACAACACTGTTCGCAGCCGGTTGACAACAATTCCACTACAGCTAACAAAACTCATGCTGACCAATATATGTAGGCTTAAAGGGCCAATATATGCACAGGGTGTCCAAAATTGATGCGCGATTGTATCCTCTTTGATAACAGAAAAATAATTGAGACAGATTCATGATTTATTGTCAATGCAATCTCCACACAGTCGTATACACTGCTGCATGCGCTTCGGCATGCCGCACATCAGGTTGTCGAGAGTCCCCGCCTTGACCCTCCGTCACGCCGCTTGTACGCTTTGGAACAGGGTATTTTCTTAAGTGGCCAGCGACATCTTGCTCAACTCCTCACCGACGATCGCTCCAAGATCCTCGGTCGGCAGCATGTCGGATCTGTTGCCTGGCCACATACCCTTCTCCCAGAAGCCCGGGAAGTTGGCGCGGCACCAGTCCTGGGTCTTCCTGACGTGATGAGCTGGAGCACCGTCCTGCTGCAAAATCGACCTCGACATGTCTGGCGGAATTTTGACATTGGTTGGCGGGCCATTCTCCTTCCTCCGCTGCATCGCCGAGGCTGCAGTGTTCTCCTGCACCTCTCTGACGTAGTAGTCGGCGGTGACAGTGTGCCCATGCAAGACTTGGTGTGGCTCAGAGAGGCCTCTGTAGACCGTCACGCCCAGAGAAGAATGTTTAGCAGCTGCGTCAATGTCTCGGCGATCGGCACCTCCGATCTGTTGTCGGCCCAGACCCGGTCGTTCTGGCGGTTAGGTGCTGGGAAGACCTCGACGGGCGACTTGTCACTAAACAGGACGCGTCTCCAGTCCCGAACGGACCAGTTTTTGCAGACCTTAGTGAATTTCAGCCGCCTGCGCTTCCGGTCCACGGTAAGCCTTGGCTGCAACATGAGCCCGAGCAGCTTCAGTTGCAGGCTGGTCTTCAGATACCGGTGGATGGCCCACTTGGAGACTGGGTGCTTCTCCGTCGTCAGTTTTCTCGTCTGGGTTCTCATTAAGTGGTGCCTTTTGGAGGCCGACTTTGCAATGACGATCTTCGCCACTCGGCTCAAGGCCGACTTCCGCCTACGACCTGCGCGGTTTTCGAGCGTCTTTCCTGAGCGGTCGCGGGCCAGCCAGCGCTTAATCGTCGCTATGTTGACGCCAAAGCCCATGGAGACATGAACCTGGGTCATGCCGCCTTTGGTCATCCCGTCCACGCGGAAGCGGATCGATGGCTTGTGCCCTTTCGCCATAATTGCCGATTTGAGGACTCGACGCGTTGGCGATCTCGAAAAGAATGACCTCTCCCGCCCGCTAGCGGCCGAGGTCAGGCCGACGGCTAGGGCCACGTGACCGTCGGACACGGCGGGATGCCCTGGGGCCGAGCGCGGTACCATTTCACTCACACAGCGTTCCGGAGAGGGAGATGATAGGCGGCATTAATTTCGGGACACTCCGCAGGCCTCACACTGGAAAATACTAAGATACGCATGAGTCGTGATAAAATAAATTCAGTTGTCACTATTGATGCGTTGTTAATTGCAGCATACCGCTCTAAACAACACGATTCCACTATTTAGTGAGCATGCTCCTCCATGCGTCATCGTTTAATTGCGTCATGTAACGTTTATATGACGTCAAAGGTACTACCGAACTGGCGGTGCGAAATTGCCACCGTAGCGGCCGGGCTGACTGATTGATCGGGGCGTCCTTATCGGGGCGTTCATTGCATTCACATACTCGGTTATAACGCTATTCTTAAAGGGAGTGTTCCACATTTGTATGGGGTTTTGAACTGAAATCGCCATCTTGAAGGTCAATTGATGCAGATCACAGTCCCGCCCTTCATAAGACCTAAGCTCCTCTTATGTCTTAGCTACACAAGGACGAAGATGTGCAGACTATCTCAAGGCCACTCAAGCATCCATGACGCCATAACGTCATTCAAATCCTGCCATTTCATATGCCATGCGGCGATCAAGACCGATAAATATATAAGTGTTGAGTCGTTCACATCTGACATTCGCGAACACAATTTCCAAATATAACGGCAGTTAACTAGCTCTTAATCAATGTTGCGCGAGGCACGATGACGTCATCAAACAATGCCGTACAGGCGAGCATATTTACCAAAGAGGGATTTTTTGTTCCCTCGAGCAGTCTCTCCGTTAACAAACGCCCGGGTGGCCGGTTGGATGGCCTTCGCTCGGGTGGGGGTCAATTTGACCCCTTGAGATCTCAGGAACTAAGAGAGCTAGAGACACCAAAGTTACAGGGTGTGTTGACTTGCACCTGAACTCACTCAGGGAAAAGTTTGAGGTTCCGAGGTCATGGCCGTCGGGTAAAATAAGGTAAAACAAGGTCAATCTCCAGATTGATCTCCAAAGTACTCCAGAACCTAGATGCCTGTCCAAAGCAAAGTTCACATGCTCTTTAAAGGTCATTTACCTTGTTTGAACTTTCGAAGGTCATGGTAACCAAAATCATACCAGACGACTTTGAGTTTTGCATTTGAATAAGCGGTAAAAAATTACGCTACACCGTATGTTCCTTAAAAGAAAATATTGATCTGAGTCATTTTAGGTCAGTGACCCATTCTGATATTTGAGAAGTGCATGGAATATATATAAGGTGGTTCCTGTTACCAATAAATTCGAAATGAGCACTAGAAACTACCCTATACGGCAAGCCCTAGAGTGCTAAAACAGATTGGTTTTGACCTTGGCCTGATCTTCAAAGCTGACCTTAGGTCAATTGAATTTGTTCATTCAATAGCTGTGTTGCCTAAACGGTTATCTCAGGAATGTATGGTCTCGTCTAACACTCCGTTGTGCATCAGATTGAACGATTCCCTAGAAATTGACTTCGCAGAATCCGTGGTCTGACTTTGACCTGTTATAGGTCAGCAACATTACAAGTTGCATCTAAGTCCATAGTACTAAACGATTTGCTATCCAACTGTCTACAGCTGTGCAAATTTGGCGCGGCTGCGCTCCGCCGTTCGGAAACCATTGTGAAAAAACTTTGAGAGGTGGTTGGGCAATCTGATCCCCACCCGAGCGCGTGTTAAGTTTTATCTGGGCCACCCTGTACTTTTAAAAGCTGCATCATGTTGCAGCCAATTGTTCGTTGTCCCAATCCGGGCCTTATCATTTGACAGATCTGTCAAACATTTGAAGACACTTGGCTTAGCATATGAAAGAGTTAGTGTGACAAAAACATTCAGTACGTACAGGATATTAGTTGGTTCAAAGCTAATATGACACTACGGGTGATGTGTTTGGGTGTATACTACCAAGTAAAACAAAAATTAATTGGGGGAGGGAATGGTCTGTACTTATTGGTCTAGTGTTCTCTCCTTGCTTATATGTATTGAGGTAACTCAGGGAACCAACCACTAGGGGGGGGGGGGGGGGGCGGGCGGCTTAAGTCAGCATTGCGGGGCTGAGGTCCCCGGAGATGATTTGGAGTGACGCCCCTGTGTGAGCCGTGTGGAAATGAACTATGTTTACCAAACAAACTCTGATTTGGAGGAAAATCCCGCCGTCAAAGCCTGCATACGCTTCTCCCACTCCACCCCATTTGAACAGCCTTATACCGAAGGTATGTAACTCAGACATCACCTAAAGCTGCTTCTACACCTGCAGGAGGTAGAGCATGGCCGTAAAATGTTATTTCGTAGCACTATCTTGCAGCCCGCGGCACGACATGCATATAAGTATGCTTTTTTCCAGCTGACCAAATTCCGTTTATCGAACATAGGCGTGTTGTATAAAATAAACAGATGCGTGATGTCACTACCCAT